CTGCTACGAGAACACGTGGGGGGCGGAGGGGTAGGGGGAGGGGAGACGGAGGAGGGCCCGGCCATTGTTAAAACTTCAATAGGAATTCGTTTAACAAAAATCGAAAAGTTGACCGATCGTAAAGCGTCACTACTTTTTAAAAAACAGTATCAAAGCTTTCAATCTCCAAAATGCAGTGTGAAAATTCCCGTTGAATTTTGAATATCCATTGTGACGTCACTTGAGCTGAACGATTCCTCCTCCTCTTCCTCCTCTTCCTCCTCCTACCCAAACTCCTACTCTCCATCTAACACCGTTTTACCATTGACGAAAAATATTTTACAACGTACGTTTGCGAATACAAACACAAAGGGGGAATGTAATACACGCGAGCACACACACACACACACATACGTTGGGGAATATATATTTTTTTTTGTTCCTTTCTCCTTCGTCAAACTTTACTAAATCCGAACGTAACGTTAATTTCCAAGCAAAACTTTGAAATTACTTCTCAGAAATGGGGTAACGATTATCATTAATAAAACTTACTACTTCAAACTCGTCGTAAGTAAATCGATTGACTCAATGAAACTACTACCTAAACTCATTTAGTTAATATTAAATGTAAAGTAAACGATAGATATCTTATAAATTATTATATATACAAATATCTTATAAATTATTTCGATGATATTGAGTTGATATTTTTATACGCAGAGTTAAAAAAAAAAAAAGAAAGGAATCGATTGGTTTAATAAAAAAAAAAAATATAAAAAAATGGGGTCGCACTAAAAAATAAAGTGCAATCATCTCTCCCATAAAATTTCCTTCATCATTTTTATCAATTTTTATTTAAAAAAAAAAAAAAAAAAGAGAAATAACCCGGCAACGTTTCAGTTGTCAAAATCATTTCGCATATAGTCGAAATTAATTACAAACGATTAATATAATAGTCGATCTATATGGATAGCAGCAAGTGAAACGAAAAAAAAAAAAAGAAAACTAATTAAAGATTTGATTAAATTCGTAGAATTTATTATTGAACGTGTAGACGTGCAAAAATGCGTAGTATTACTATCTTTTACGTCGTTTAAAGTGTTTTATTAAAAAGAAGAAGAAAAAAACCAGATGTGTTTCTTGCGTTTCACGTTCTTCCGTTTCACGATTTTCAAATCACCCTGATTCTAAAGAAGTTTTCACTTAAAAAAAAAAAAAAAAATATCATCAAAGCCATTTTAGGAGATACAGTAACGTCGTAGTCGTCGTAGTCATCGTCGTGGTCGTGGTCGTCGTAATTTCTTGCCAAGAGACAATGCTCGAATCCCTAAACGGTCCGACCGAAAACAAAACGGGAACGTAGCTCGTCTTCCGGAAACGCATCACGCGGTCTCTGGCAAGAAGAAGAAGAGGAGGAGGAACAACGAAGAGGGAAAGGGAAGAGAAGACTGCCCTAGGTGCCGGCAGTTATTTACTCTTAGGACAATTTAGCGTAATTAATTAACCGGAGTTGCTAGGGTAAGCTAATTTATACTCATAGAATGATTCAGTAGCTTTCTCGAAGCCAGTTCTCTTCCTCTTCTGTCTTCCTACGTCACCTTTGATAAACTGGATTCTATCAGATTTGAATTGACAAAAGAGATCTCGATTTTCTATTTGAACGATGTTGACAAAAAAATAAAATAATAAATTCATACGATTTAAAATACTGTTTTTAAACGATCATTTTCAACGATTTGCGTTAACTCGAAAGCAGATGTTAGTTTTTTCCTATGAAATCTGGTCTCTAAGCAATTTTCGAACTATTAACTAATGGCAAATTCCATGAACGCTTATCTAAATGTTGCTTGCTACTACTCCTACTTGCTCGGCAAGAAACGTTTCACGGTGAATCAGAACTTCGTCGCGTGTACAAATTTACTTTACGCGTATAAAGCGCACGCATACACACACACACACATACATATTGGATATCTAATGCTTGTGTACATAGTTCGGACAAAGTAAACGGTATAGTTACAATGCATTTGCTGAACTTTCAACGTTGTAGACGATTCGATAGTATTTCACGTGTATTCTCCTCCTACCACTAGATGACTTTGATTATGTGAATTTGTGTACATTTAAACCACTGGATATATTAATTCAACTCGTTCCTTAGCTAATTCTAAAGTAATTATCAAAATTTCAAATTTTCTACTTCCTTCCTCTAATGGTTTATTTCATCGTCTTATTATAATATTTGATGACGCACACATATGTATGTGTTACGAACGTTTCGTCGAGAACATCTAAGAACATTTTTCTCACGTTAAGAGCTCCCTTGATAAATGGTTACTTTTTTTTTTATTCCTGACAAGCGATGATACAACCCTCGTGTATTTGTTTTTCCAGATAATATATGTATCTTTCTTTTTCTTTTTCTTTTTCTTTTTCTTTTTCTTTTTCTTTTTCTTTTTCTCTATTTTTCTCGATTCAATTAAATGTAACTTTCTTTTTCAAGTGAAAACTTCTTTAGAATCAGGGTGATTTGAAAATTGTGAAACGGAAGGAAGAACGTGAAACCAATGAAACAAAAATAATTAATTAATTAATAAAATTCAATATATAATTTAATTCTATATATTAATTAATTAATTAATAAAATTCTATATATCAAAATTGAGTATTACAATATGTTTGTCCACTAATAATTTCGAAACTACTCAACTTATCTGAATGAAATTTATTTTATTTCGCGTGATTTTTTCCAACTTAGCACATAGCACAATTTTTATTTAGAAATTATCTAGGTTCTGTAAGGTTCTTTCAATAGATGGCACTGTATTACAATTCAATTATTTCGATAATATTCACGTCTCGAAGTTTGGTTTTCTTTCAAGGTTTCACTTCTGCCGTGTGTGATCTGCACACATCTGTTCTTCTAATTCATACATTTATAACGTTGAAGTAAAGTTTAACGTATGATATACATATAATCGATTAAAAATGCATTTACTTTAAAAAAAAAAAAAAAAAGAGAAACACCTGTGTAGAAATTAAGTCCCGAAAGCATACACACGTTCGATGTGCGCACGTTAATAAATCTTAAGACTTCGTCCAAACACGCTCCGTTTAGCACACTGCTTTTGTCCGGAGCGAATAAGTCTACAAGCAGGGCCCCCGAAGTTTCAAATACACCACCATATACACAGCACGTCTGTTCTTCGTACTTTATCTCCTGAGCTGGGCTCTGAATGCAGAACGTGCTTTGCATCGGGTCTCTCTCCTTCAACCACTTAGATACGATTATTCGTTTTGAAAGGAATGCCCGGGCCGCGAGTTTGTGCCAAGTAGGAATTATAGTCGTTTACGTTTCCCACTTAATCCACGAATCGCGATCGTTCTGATAAAAACTAGTCTACCTCCCCCGTTCCCCCTTCCCCCACCACCATTTATTGTTAAACAAATCCGATGATAATGTTCTATAGGTAAGTAATGAGAATAAAAAAGAAAATGATCCAAACGTTGAGCCAGAGTATTTCCAATCTTTAACCAAACGCTGACCCCATACAACAGCAGCACGTTGGCCACGCGCAAATGCAACCGAATGGTAAACATTTACACCGCTAAAACCAGATGTTTAGTTCGCAGGCGCTTGGCTGTTACAACTTGCTGCTTTTTCAGTTCAAGAAACCAATTAAAATACAATCGTATAGGTTTGAAAATACATAAAACGGTATTTAACTGGAAATAATAATTGAATGATATTCCGTACCATATTGTTCTTCTATTAAAACGTTAATTGAAATAATAATCATTGAGAATGATTGATGATGATGATGATGATGATGATGATGTGATATCATTTTAATATCATGATTTTATTCGTGGAAAATAATAATCGGTCCCGTTTGTAAAAAGTAAGAAGAAGAAAGGCTAAATAAAAAATAAAAAAGTATTATTGCTACGTCGGAGAATTTTTTGTTGTTCTGTCTACACAGATTTAAACGAAATCTTTTTGTACATTCTAATACGTTGGAGAATACCAAAACTACAGTGGAATATTTAAGAACGCATATGTGAATTTTATGGCACCACGTGCGTACCATAAAGAGCGAAACGTTCCACGAAAAAATACAGGGCAACAAAGAAAGCCGAGTGTAGGTGTCGCGGTCACTGGATATTTAACTTTATATACACACACACACGTGGTTCGTTTTAAAAATAAATATCATTCAGAAATAAAACGTTTATATTGATATCGGTTACCATTCTTCGCAAAAAAAAAAAGATACTTTTTCAAGGTTCATTAGATTTCCCTTGACATTTTGACGTTGTTAACAGGAAACCACGTGTGTGCGTGCGTGCGTGCGTGCGTGAGTGCGTAAGCAAATATCGGTTACGTGTAATATCTTAAAAATAGACAAAGAAAATATAACATAGATTTTGTAGCTTTTTGATGGAACAGCCTGTACACAAGAAGAAAGAGACATGACAGAGCAGCACATAGCACGAAGATTCGTAAGAGAAACGGCTTGTACACGCGACATGGTTTTAATGTAATATAAAAGTTGCTAAACGAAATAGAAGTCCTAGAGAGTTTCACGTGTACGGTACATTTAATTTATCTTTACAAATCTTGACAATTACACGGTAATTATTAATAACACTCGCAATTTGCTCTTCTACCTTGCCCGATACACGTTGCATTTAAACTCTCGTTCATACGTTTAATTTATCTCTATTTTGTGGTAGATCCTGAAAATGGGGGAGAAACACGTATTTCTACCATCCTCCTCCTCCTCTTCCTCCTCCTTCTTTACGAATAAAACTCACGCGTGTAAATGCACATTGCACATTGCACACACTGACAAAAAAATACCTTCAACAATTCATAGATGTTTTTGATAGACAATTCTGTACGCGTATTCTACACATTTATCAAAGAGCAAAAAGCAACGAAAAAAATTCGAAAAAAAAAGAAAAATAAAAGAGAAAGAGAAAGAGAAAGAGAAAGAGATGAAAATTGGCGTACCAACCTGAAAGAATGGTTCCGGGCAGCAACGCACAGAAGCTCAAGTACGTAAGCAACACTCGCCAACACTCCTGACGTGCCTTTTGGCAAAAGTCCAACTTTTTCTCTTTCGGTAGGCCACTGATTCTTGGCCCCTTCATCTTGCACGGTGCCGCATACTTTTCGTTCCAGCCACGTACACACGCGTACATACGTTTACGCACACGACACGTTTAAAATGGAACTTCGATAATGTCCCACGAGGTAATACCTTCAACCTTTACTTCTTCTTCTTCTTCTTCTTCTTCTTTTTAATCCCGCACGAGAAACATGAAATTGTGTAATGACGTCGAAACACGTGCTTGAAAAACGTTGCACACGCGTATGTAGTAGTTACGACTTTTCTTTACCTCATTCCATCGATTCATCGCTAAACTTGTTAACATTTTCAACTTTTCACCTATCTCAAAAGCTTCCTTGACGTTTAACTTCCCTTTTATACGAAACGACCGTGCTCGTTCGTCGAGCATTCGAACGAAACTGTCCTCTTAATTCAAAAGGAATGCTACGTTACGTCGATATGCGACCTTTTCCTTTCGTAAACAAACAACGCATATTTCTTCCTCTCTCTCTCTCTTTCTTTCTCTTTCTTTCTTTGAAGTCTTTCTTCTTGGTTCCAACACACATAAACACATTATAACGAGACACCAATTAAAAAACATAACAATAATATTATCGTCGACGTAAATATCCCCATTGTTTTTATCACGATTATGATATTACCATTTAATTTAGATTTTTCTTCCATTCTAATAAATGATCCCTAATCGATTATTAATTACGTATAAATGAAACTTATTTCTGTGTTAATTGTTAAATCTGTAAAAATTGTAATTTACATTCATTAATATTATATTATTTGTTAATTTTTGTCACAGGTTCGAAGGAATTTCGATAAGCCATAGATCCTCGTACTATTCGCGTTCGTCGATAAAACGATATGGTGTCGAGTGAACAGCCACGGAAAATTATTATTTTCTTCTCTCTCTCTCTCTCTCTCTCTCTCTCTCTCTCTCTCTCTCTCTCTCTCTCTCTCTCATTYGATATATATATATATATATATATTTCTTGGAGAGTACAACGTTAAATTGAACGTGTAGAATGTTCGTCGTGATACGATAGAATCCATTTCGCGCGCGATTGCCGATGTAAAGGATGGTCTTTTCACTGACACCACCACCACCACCACCACCGTCACCATGCCTTCTTCGCTTACCTACATTTAGCGGATAAAAGAAATACCTGACACCCCCTCCCCAACCAACCCACCCACCCGCCACCTCTGGTACACGTTGAATTATCGATCGTGAAGAAGATCGATTTGAAACTCTTTTTCAAAAGGACGATATCCTCCTATCCTTTTCTTTTTTTTTTTTTTTTTTTTGAAAAAGAATAACGTACGATACGAAATATCGATCTTAGAAAAGAGTTTTACAAATTTTCTTTTAACCTCCTGCCCCCCCGTCCCCCTCCCCCTCCTCAACAACCTTCTCTCCATCTTTTACAAGGGAGAAAAGTTCGACGAAGGTATCGTTCGAGTTAAGAGAAAAAGAAACTCCAAGATTAACTCCAATTAGCAAGGTTCGAAAAAAAACTTTTTGCAAAAAAGGCTCTCTCTCTCTCTCTCTCTCTCTCTCTCTCTCTCTCTCTCTCTCTCTCTCTTTATCTTTCTAGTTTTCTTTTTCAAAGATCTCGAGTTCGAGGTCTAATAAAAGTCTCGAGCCACAAATTAAAGCACTTAAAAGCGTAACTCTCTCTCTCTCTCTCTCTCGTTGTAAAGTGGTTCCGTTTAACGATGGCTTCCCTCTTCTTCCCTTTTGGTTTTCGTCCTCGTGTGATAACCTGAGTGAGTTACTTTCTTTTTTGTTTTTTTTTTTTTTGACGAAGATGTTACATACGAATATTTGTATTCATAAAAAAGCAACGTCTGCTTGATTTCTTGATGCGTTGCGAAAAAAGGGTCGTGTCGTGTCGTGTCGTGTCGGGTCGAGTCGAGTCGGGTCGAGTCGGGTCGGGTCGGGTTGATGTAAACGAAGGAAAAGATAGAGAAAGAAAAGACAAAGAAACGTGTCAACCTGTAACAATGACAATGCTGATGCAAGACGAGACTCACAAATTATCCCCGAAAGGTATTATTAATTAATCCCCTTGTTAAGCCACGACGCGAGAGAGAGAGAGAGAGTAACACGGCAAAAGGGGAAGGATGGATAGATGGATGGATGGATGGATGCTGCCGCCTCGTGTGCTACTGGAGAGTGCCATTTTCAAGGGTTCGGTTAAGGGTAGAAAAGCTGAGGGTGGAAACATGCGTGCCTACCGTCTCTCTCTCTCTCTCTCTCTCTCTCTCTCTCTCTCTCTCTCTAACGGTGTGAAAATCGTTTCAAGTTGATATTGAAATCAAAAAACAGCTAAATGTTTGACCGTTTGACCGAAATGACTCACAGAGACCTCTACAGTTTCCACCGGGCTCGGGAAAGCCAAACTGCGCTCTCCACTGCGCATTTTTTCTGAAGTAGTGATCTAGAAAATAATATGATGGCTGACAAAGACACTATCAGAAATCTCGAAAATAAAGAGCCGTAATAATGAGCAATAAAAGATTTCAAAAATTGGTGCATTTTATTATATGTTGTACCCTATATAAATAAGCTCTGTAGAGAACGAAGCGTTCCTCAGATGAAAAGGTTAGATCTACCTGAACGATCGGCAACCGATTAGCTTGGAAAAGGGTAAATCTACCCCCGAGCGGTCGGTTAAGTGTTAAAATTGAAAAACACACCCACAGGTGTGTGCACGCGTCTTTTCCAATTATTTCCTTTTAATCAATGTTACAATTAGAAATATAAATCTATTTTTTACATATATTCTTTAGTAAAACCCACTTGAATCTTCATAATATTTTGATATGAATCGTTTCAACGATAACGTTGTGTTATACGAGCATATCTTTGGACAAACATAGTATCGCGTTTCTGTGCCAGGGACCGTCACGAACTGTCAAATTTCTTGTAGTTCCTCGCTCGCAAAGCTATTTATAACGAAAGTGTTGTACGAACGAAGCTGCGACGAGTGCACACGATGCAAGTCTTCTTAACTATGTCTTTCTCTTTCTCTCTTTCTCTTTTCTCGTCACCTCCCACACTTTGTGGAATGTTTTCTTTCTTTTTTTTTTTTTTGCTCAACCAGTACTGGCAAAAACAGAAGCAGCACCCGCAACGAGACCAGCAAAGACCTTTCTGTCCTAGAAATATACATAATCACCAAAGTTAATTAAGGTTTTTGGAGATAAAAGAGAGCTGAATAATAGAAATGAAAATGGTGCGACGACGACAAGCTTAAGGATCTACTGGCACGAGAACGAGGAAATCAACTTGTACTCCTGGAACGGATGTTCATAAAACAATCTTGACAATATCTATATCCGAGATATGTATCTTTAAGATTATCCAGAAATGTGTCGTCTGTTTGTTTGTTCTACGAATTTTCAATTATCTTTCGAAGAAATCCCTTATGTCTTTTCTTATATCTCGATTCTAATTCATTTCACGAATATACGAGGTTGTTGCTTTATTCTCAAATCTTTTACCTTCACCAAAATACACCTGAGATTGTACAAAAAAGAAACTAAAATTACTTTTTAATCGAGTATAATCATCTTTTTTTATGAAATTTCTATTCGATCGATCAACAAAATTCCTTAAATATATTCACCTTATCGACTAACTAACCAAACGAAAATAAAAAAAATAAAAAAAAAAACTACGGTTCATCTTTTTGTTTTTTTTTTGTTCTTTTTGTTTTTAAAAATCGATAGCAAATACAAAGTGCAAAATGGTGAACAAGGGGAGGGGGGGTGGAAAATTAAATCAATTTTGTACGTGACATCGTTGTTGAAGCGGAAGGGAAAAGTTTCACACGATGACCAGTTGGCAATTTCAAAAACAGCACAAAGCCATAAAGCTTTGCCGTGTCGTTTATGCAATTTATTGTTCCTCCTTTTTACTTGAAAAATGTAAAAGTGCCTCCCTCGACCGATGGACTGACTGCGGTTTGCGTTCCTTCTCTCAATTTCTCTTTCTCACTCACTTGCCTGGCCTTACCATCACCCTTTTCTCTTTGTCGGTATGTACCCTTGCTACTTATTACGTCATAACTTACAGTCTCGACGTCAAATTGATTTATTATTATGGTAGATTTTCTTACGGTGCGCACGCGCCCTCATACATACACACATACACATACACATGCAATATTCAACGATATAAAATTGCAAATAGACGAGAATAGAAAGAAAGAAAAAAAGTAGACGATGAACGAGATGGTATCATAATGCAACCTCAACTAACTTCATTCTTCCCTGTTACGATAAACACTATGTATATATATACTACTTCCTGTCCTTCTTTTTTCCGTACTTACTACCATTTTCTCAAGGTATTTAGTAAAACACAAAGTGTCTCTGAACAAATACGAAAGGAAGAGGAGGAGGAGGATGAGGAGGAGGAGAAAGAAGAGTAAGAATAGGAGTATTTGAGAAGTAAAAGTAATCTACCAAAAGTATATTTTCGGAGTAAATATTTATAGAAAAAAAGGAAATTGTTAAAGAGCAAAGTCATTTTTATTCTATTGAGCAAAAAAAAAAAAAAGACAAAGGAAGTTGTATTAAATTACGCATAATTTGTTCCCTAAAGATAAAGTTCTCGCAAAGATAATCCAAATTTCAAATCTGAAGATAAAAACGAATTTGTTCTTTTTTTTTTCGCAAATTCGAAATAAAGAAAAAGATCAAAATTAAACTTAAAAAAGGAAGAATAATAACAAAAAAAAAAAAGAAAAATGACTTGGATATCGATGGAATACCATTTACACGTTGTGGGCACGAATCGTAATTCGAGTGTAGGAATTTCGTTCCAGTTGTTCTCTTTTCCAACACCAACACCAAAAAACCCATGCTTCTCCGTCCTGGTCTGATCTTTTGCATAACCGTTTCCCAACGAATGCGCTTCGACACAAACGTATTTGTTCAAAGGACGACTGTTGCATCGTGCCACCTATTTTCCACCTCGTTGCCACTCTCCCTTCCAACTACTCTTTCTCTCTCTCTCTCTCTCTCTCTCTCTCTCTCTCTCTCTCTCTTCATCCTTCCCTAGCTCCCGCTTCGTCATCCTTTTCTATCTCACAGTGTTCTCTTCGTCATGAAGAGANTCTCTCTCTCTCTCTCTCTCTCTCTCTCTCTCTCTCTCTCTCTTCATCCTTCTCTTTTTTTCTCTACTATTCCCTGAGAGCCTTTCTAGAGTAACCCTGCGATTGGTTTTTCGTGTTTCCCAATTCCTCCCTCATCCTCGAAATCCTAATTTCTCGTTTTTTATTCTCCTACTCTGTTTCTCTTTCTACCCTTTTTCTCTCCCTCCCACCCTTCCTTCCACCCTTCCATCCATCCTTTCTCTCTCTCTCTCTCTCTCTTTCTCTCTTTTGAACATTCGATACAACTGGCCTATATCGGTCGACACTAGGTCACTCTTGCTCTTTCTCTCTCTCTCTTTGCTACCCTCTTTCTCGTCATCCGACGAGAAACGAAATGGCCCTTTCGGGCGATAACAGAGAAAATCCCAACGTCGCTCTTACCCTCTCGGCCAAACCCTGATTTTCAATTTCGTTCGCGTGGGACATAGAAATTCGGCACATTTTCTTTTTTCTTTTTTTTCCCACATTCCCATAACATACGAGTAAAATTTTGATTTTATTTCAAAAGTGTCGTTTTAAATTTATACGACTTTTATTATATATCTAAATCTTCAATTAGATTTAACAAAAAAACTTCGATTAATTTGATAATTCTTTTGAAATCGATACGCAAAGTATTCCTTATCGTTTTAAAATGTTCTTCAAAGTGTTGATAGATAATTATACGCTCAATAACAAAAGAATCTTTTAAACGTTTTTAACGAAACAGAATGAATAAATAAACTATCAAAGAGAGAAAGAGAAAGGAGAAAGAGAAAACAAAAATACGTCAATAAAAAAACACGAGGACGAGCACCAAAGTTGCCCGGAGCAATGCAACTTGGGCAGAACTAATAAATTCGCAAAACTCGTCGTCGTCTACGAATTCGTCAGAGTACGACGTCCTTTCTCTCTCTCTCTCTCTCTCTCTCTCTCACTCTCTCTCTTTCTAACTTTAACTCTAACAATAACCCTCGGCAAAACGACGATGTTGTGTCGACTATGACACTTTTCGTGGAAGCAAGCTTTATCTCCACCAACATGCAAATGGGTAACAATTTAATCGTCACACACGTAAGCGAATTGCATATTCGATGGATTGACCCAATCATCTCAAGGTTCATTATTCCAAAACTATTTTCATAGTTCCATGTTATGAAATAAAATTTGTCAAAGATACGCTGATGAAAAAAAGGATACGAAATGAAATATAAATCGATCGATGGTAATCAATAATCATCCATAGCACCACACGTATATACGTACGAACCCAGGAAAAACCATTTAGAAAAGTCGAATAAGATTTGTCTGTCTATCTATATCCTTTTTCTTTTCTATTTCTATTTCTTTCTCTTTTACTTAGACTTTTTCTATTTCTATTCTTAGACAAGGCACGCGCAAATATCTTAGGAGAAGTTCGAAATTCCTTCGATTGCAAACTATCGAATTACTATATATATATATATATATCCCTCGAGTGTAGAATAACTTTTCTCCTACTTAATTACCTTAACTCTCGTAACTCACTGAGAAGAAGGCTCACGTGGTCTTATCACTGAACACACAAACTCCGTGAAAATCACTGATCCCTTTCGTTAGAACAGAAAGACACTCTCTGAAGTGAAGTTTCGACATGCCGAAGAAGTAACATCGAAAACAGTTGGTAGGGTAGGGAGAGAGAACGCTCCTAGTATATACTCTAAGATCCACTGGTCGACTCTACGTCCATGATGGATCTACGTGGTCTCTCTAACAATAAACTAAGATAAAACAACCACCAAGAGACATGGTGGAGGTGGTGGAGGAGGATGTCGTTTCGTTGTCGTAGTCGTCTGCGGTGAACACCGCGAAGAACAAGAACAGGATGAAGAGAAAGAGAGGAAGAGAAGGGTTAAAAGAGAAGGAAGAGGAGGGGGACGAGGGGAGGGGAGGGGAAGGGGGGTTGGTAAGAAGAGAAGGAGAGAAGAAAGAGGAATTAGAGAGGACACGAAAAATAAGACGTGTGGGTTGGTTCAAACGTGTGTTGGGACCGCACGCGTTACAAAACAAAGTCTATCGGACTCTAACGCACTATGCCTGTAAGAGAAGAGGCATGCTATTAGTATGACGAGCACTATTACTTTCTCTCTCTCTCTCTCTCTCTCTCTCTTATTGTCAATGTGATCCACTCGAGACACTCGCCGGATACGTGCACGTACACTCGCATACCAGCAACTTGCAAAGCACGGTGTCACCTTCTTATCGTAGGCTTTTTTATACGATCCTGCACGCGCGTGGGAGAACAGAGAGGGAGGGAGGGATCGGTTCACGTTGCAAGGGGAACAACTTCATGGACGGAAACCGTGTGTGCGGTTTATGCTCTCAGCCAATAACACATGTTCGTTATTTTCATTGGAGCTTGGCCAAATATGAATGAAAGACGTTACTAAAGAAAATCCGTACTCGTTTCACTTTCTACGGGTGGGTCGGTCGGTCGTCGTCGTGGGGAGGTGCTACGCGTAAGCCAATTTATGGTTTGGTTCTCCTATTTTTTGATTTGAACAATGATAGGGGGTAGTAGCAGCATTTGTAGAAATTCGAACATGATTGTATTGTACAATATCGAAATGATTCCTATGTACGTAAGTATAGGAATAGCTTATTTTCCATAATCTTTTTGGAATTTTTTTGTTCTTTATTTTATTGTTTTGTTCATAAAGAAAAAAGACAACACGAGATTCAAGAAGGGAATTGTTCTTTACATTCGTGAAACGTTACGTGTATCTAATGGGATAAAAGTTATCGTTGTAACTTTGGTCGAATCATCATTGTCATCATCGTCATCGTCATCATCATCATCACAATCATCTATGCGATACATTCAACTAACGGGAATAAAGAAAAGAAGAGAAAGTAGGAGGGATCAGGGTGGAGACGTGGGATATTATGCAGATAAAATATTCATAGCCATTGGAATCCTCGATCGGATCCGCCTTTATTTTTCGGGATGAATAGAAATGGTGCCACCCTCGTTGACCCGTGGCCCGCAATTCTTTTCCAACCAACGACAATGAGACGGAAAAAAAAGTAGAGAGAAAGAGAAAGAGAGAGAGAGAAATAGAAACCAAGAGCGAGAGGCAAAAGGGAAGTGGAAAAAGGAAGAAGAAGAAGAAAAAAAACAAAATAGAAAAAAAGGGCGCACACGCGTGTGAGAGACCAAATCACACACATCTATTGCATCGTGATTATCCTTTGTGAGCATTATCGACTGTACGAATCTAACCAAACCTGAAGTTCCCCATCCAACGAGATACCATTCTATGTTTTTTTTTTATTGTAGTATATCGTTTAAAAAAAAAAGAAAAAAGGGAATAAAAAGAAAGGTAAAACTTTGTTAAAGGTCAATCAATCAGACGACGATAAAGCTTTAACAAAAAAAAAAGAAAACGTTTTGTTCGAAAGCTCACTTTTCTACTTACTTTATGATTTACTTTATTATATCATACGAATCGCGATGGAAATAAAAATATAAAAAAATAAATAAAAAACATAAAAAAATAAATTCAAGAAAATTTAATGGCGAGAGATCGATGGACTTAATTTCCGTTTTGGTGCGTACCTAATAACGTCTTTTCTTAAATAATAACGAATAGTTTTGATTAAATTCATGAATCACGTTAGAGTGGCCCGGGGGGGGGAGCGAATGGGAGGAATGGGGGAGGGAGGATTGACTCGATCATGGAATATAAGTTAGGTGCTGCTATTAATTATAAAAAACTGAAAACTCATTAAGAAAGTAAAAAAGTTTTTAAGCCATCCCGATTGGCATTCTTACGAAAATAGACGAAAAAAAAATAAAAGAAAAAGAAGAATAGTTTCCAAGGAGTATCATGAACAAAATCCTCGCGAGCCAAGTTTCATGAAACCAAGGGAGGGAGGACACTCTCTTCAAGATAATTCAAGATGTTCAATAGAAAAAAGAAAAAAATAAATAAATAAGGAAAAATATTAAGAAGAAATAAAAAATCATCGTCTACAATAAAAAAAAAAAAAAAAATTTGTGCAACGTCAGAAAAACAAAAATGTCTAAAAAAAGCTTCGATATATATATATATATATATCTTTTTCTTCAAGTCCAAAGGGATATTAACGAATGATGGATGTGTTTCTTACGCTTACGCGTTGGCCGCTGCTGTTATTGCCTTAGCAATTTTCACAGAGGCCCTCCCCTCCCCTGCCCCGCCCCGCCCCTCGGCCCTCCATCCAGGTTCAAACCTTTTCAAAGTTAAAGGTGGTCGCAACGCGCCGTCGAAACTATCCGCGAGATATCGATGTGAAAAATGATACGAGGAGTTCCGTTCCCCGTAATGTCATCCCGTTCTATTTTTCGATATCGGTACATATAATGTTACGTGGGAAAAGCTTAAAACGTCAGTCACGTAACAACGATGGACGACGGAAGAATTTGACGCAAAACGTCTACATCCCGCGAAGTAATGGGAAGAAGCTTTAGCGATATATCGAAGAAAAGAAATCTCTCTCTCTCTCTCTCTCTCTCTCTCTCTCTCTCTCTCTCTTTGTGATGGTGGTGGTGGTGGTGGTGTACCACCTTTTATACTCCTACTTATTTTTACCTTCTTCCTCCTTCTACCTCCTCGTCTTCTTACTTTTATATTCTTATCCTTATTCTTATTCTTCCTTCCTTCCTTCCTCCTTCTCTTCCTTCCCGTATTTAAAACTCTACGTTACTCGCAAAAAAAAAAAAAAAATATAAATGTAAAAGTTTCTTTTACCTGATGGCTAATTATATAGCGCATGCCTTGTAACAAGCGTACCTCATTATCGTGATATAATTAGAAAAGCTCTGTAAGTCGTCAGTGAAAATCTTAATCCCACGCGAGCGCATTCCTAGGTCAACGACGTTGATTCATTTTCCCCCCGCCCCATCTTTCCTACCCCCCGCCCCCGTCCCGTCCCTTCCCTTTCCCCCTGTCCGCCCGCCCCTTTCTCCATCTCTTTATTTCTCTTTCTCTCTTACTCACATACTCTTAAACCGACAATCAATGGCGTTATTAAGTTTCCCTAATTGGACAAATATTTGCTCCTTCGCTCGCTCTCTCGCTCTCTCTCTCTCATTTTCTCACTTTCCGTCTCTTCCTCCCTCCCCTTCTAGGATTTAAAAGTTTGCCAACGTAAACGAGATAGCTTGTACGAGCTATACCTTATGGTACATATGAATATTTGTACATATATATATATATTATATCGTATATGCATGCAAAGTACTAGGATATTATACTTTCAAATTATATAATATTTTATTTAAAAATTATTTCATTATTATTATAAAATGTAATCCAGAATAATTATATAACAAAATTTTTATTACGTACAAATATAGAAGATTTAAATTAACAGGATGAATCGCAATCAGTTGCAGAATAAATCATTTTCGGTTAGTTCAATCACGGTTTGCTTAATAATGTATTTATGTTGATTTGCATATTAAAAAGATCCTAATTAATCTGTAATAAAGGTACTACTCGCGATAACGCGTATATATTTAAAGAGGAAAAATTTATTTTCATTTGATAATGCTATTATACGTTAACGATAAATATTTAAATAATATATACAAATAATTATCTTTATGCTATTTTAAAAAGTATAAAACAAGTTAGAGTATGTAGATACATTAAGAAAACAGTTTTGACAGAATTGGTATGTTCGTAAGCGTTTACACTCCAGGTGGTAGTATCTAGTCTAGAGCAAGACTCAAGTTAGAGACCACACATAGGAACACTCCGTGGTAATCCTTTGATTACAGCCTGTTTCGAGAGTTAGGTGAATCACGAGGAAACGCGTAAGATGATATTCCTGAATGGAAGGGCCGGAAGGTGAAGCCGTCCTTCATAAGGGAGGAGAATACACGATGTCGCAGGAGAGAGTAACAGAGAAAGGGACAGAGAGAGACAGAGAGAGAGAGAGAGACAAACATCGTAGTACACACCAACTACCGGTTACCGCTTGATACGCTGTATATACGACTCTCGAGCTCGGCGTAACACATCCGGTGTGTAGTGGTAACGAAATACACAGTAACATTATATCCGAGATATTCATCCACGGCATGACGTTACATGCTGAATACCCGCTTGCCCATAATATGCATCCAAAGGTATCGCGTGGCATCCGAATTAATTTTGGTCTTGAGAAGCCTGCTGATATCATCGACGGTCTTCGGCGTTCGATTGACGATTAGTGATGTCTTTGTAAAGCAAATTTCCGTTCATTCCACACGAATGTACAAACTTTACTTGATAACCGTATCAGTACCTTACTACTGTCCATCTATTACTCGATAATTTAGATTATGTACTTGCAGTGCGAAGAAGATACAAGAACGTTATGCAAACTGTATTTAAAAGAAGAATTGAAAAGAGAGAAATAAAGGAAATTTCGAAGGTCAACGAAACTCATCGTAAAACGCATTCGATCGAAATCACGCGCACGAATAGCCATACGGAAGCACCATAAAGCTAATGATCCCTAAGTGATCCGTACCACGACGACATGATGACTGTTGTACCAGGGAGGATGGGATTACGAGCAACGAACGGAATGGAATGGTACATCCCATCATTATCCAATGATCCGACATCTCTTTACCAACGACTATACGTGCCACACCTCTGTGCACACGATCGTTTCCCGCGCAAAACAATTTTATTCTTGACTAATATGTTACCTTCAAATTTTCTATCTCTAATAAACTTATTAACATTGATGATATAAAGATGTCAGAACACGAAAGCATTACTATTATCGTTTATCAGTCAAACTACAGCATCCTTAAGATCGTTATACTGGTCGTTTATCAAACACCAAAGCCTCGCGTATAGATAGATAGACATCACCTGTTAAATAAGGTTTGTTATATCATAAATCATCATCATCATCAACCATGTGATCGAATAACTCTACTGAGTAAACCAACTAACGAAAGAAATCATTTGCGGTTAGACGAGTATCATATTTAACTTCGAAATACGAAGACTTTGTTGAAGTAAACGGCTATGTACCAATATCTATGTAAGCGTATCGATCTCGTCTATCGATGTAATTGGATATTCTTCTTTAAACACGAAAATCTATAGATCAAAATAAAATATCGTATGTGAGTGAGAAAATGATTTGTAAGATTTGAACGAATCTAGAAAACAAATCTAGACGATGTTAATTATATGTGAAAATACATTTATCGTTATGTACAATTGAACGAGAACTTATCTCTGAAAAAAATCATACCTTAATATCTAACCCTTATTATTTTAATGTAACATAAACCATATAACGTTATAATGTACGTACATACATAGGAAGAAGTAGTTGGAGGCGGTAAGTGAACGTTTGCCGCGTGTTTTCCGGCCATTCGTCATTTTTAGCGGTCGACTTTCGGTCGATGAAGTATTAAATTATATTTCACCACAATGATTAACGATCCTGAAATGTGTTATTAAACTTTAAAGCAAGCTGGGACATGATATTCTTGCTAGGTAGAAATGGTCAAATTGTTATTCTCATCCTTCGTCATTTTCCATTATTTCTACTTTATCCTTTTGTGTGCGTTAGTTTTAACTTTAATTTAAACATATAACACGATATAATAGTTCGAATAAAATTAATCAATAATTTACGTATAATTGTTCATAAAAATAGAATTGTAATACGTACCAAACGTTCGAAAAAAAACAATGTTCGAAAGAATCAAACAAAAATAGAAGTTTTCTTCTTTATACAATCTCTTTTATAACCTATATTTTCTTTTTATCTTGTGCTGTTATTATGATGATACATTAGAACACTTTTCAAACTTTTTTATCACCAATAATCACAAAAACTTTCTTCAAAATTGTCCACACCAAAAGAGAGATTCGAAGACATTACGTCACAATCGTTGAAGAACTACATTTCAAATTAAACAAATGAAAAAAGGAAATTCTTGCACATGCGCAGTAAGTTCCTGAAGCGCGGTCTTTTTGAAATTTTATTCGCGTAATATGGTGAATAAATAAATGACTTTTGAAATTAATTTAGAAAATATTAATTAATTGTATATTTAAATACTTCTACTAACGAAACATTATATTATAACGATTTAATATGAAAATTGGTTGTTTTTTTTTTTAAATAAAGTAAAAATCGAATGAAATTCGATCGAGGCGCTGCTATCACTCTCGGCAAAATTACAAACACGTGTATTAAGTTTCTCATACAATGTAAATATGACTATATTTATGAAATAAAAAAAAATTGTCGTTCATTTTTTTACGTTTATTGGTATATTTTTGCAATGTTGGAGGATTATTTAATAAACCATCAATCATCCCGTTTAGAACAAATATTAAATGCAACGGAGGAATATGTGCATTATTCAATTTATGTGAAGTAAACACTTATTTATAATTAAATATATATCATTATTGATTCATTTTGAAAATGTTTTAAATATTTTTGTAGCTTTGTATCTTTATTCGAAGCTGATCCTGAGAATGCACAAAAGATTCTACTTCGTCCTAGGTATTATTTACCATTATGTGATGAAGCAGCTATTAAGGCTCAAGAAAAAATATCCAAACCGCATCAAGTTGTAAAAAAATTGGTAATTAATATTTAAATATTTTACATTTAAAATATTTTATATTCTATCCACATTATATTCATATGTTTAGATTCATATTAGAATTACTGCTATTCCTATTAAAGTACAAGATGCACAAATTGGTGAATTAGTTACTACGAGTGGAATTACAGTTAGAACGTCTCAACCTTCTGTTATAAAATTGAAAAAACGATACAAGTGTAAAAAGTGTAAACATGTCTCTGTAATCAAGGTAGGTTTTTCGACAAATTTCATATAATTTCTATTACATTGTATTACATCGAAAAAAGAATGTTTTCTTTTTTAGTTTGAATGGGAACGACATATGTTTCAAAATCTTAAAGAATGTCAAGCGTGTCGTGTAAAGAAGATAGAAACTTTAACAGATCTAGAACCTGATGATTGCTCCGATTACCAGGAAATTAAAATTCAAGAAAGTCTATAATTAATATAAAAGTTAATATATAATTATTATATTTTATATATTTTAATTTTATATATTTTATTCAATAGGAACACAATCAAAAGGATGCGAAGAAGTCTTGTATGGTAGGATTACAAGTTATTTTACTGGATGATTTAGTCGATAAATGCAGACCAGGAGATAGTTTAGAAATAAGGTATTTTATCTGATTTATAATCCGTATCAATATAATAATTAATATTATAATATAGTCTGATATCATGTATTTTCTATATGTGAAGTGGAGTAATTATACGTAAATGGGGAACTTTGACAGTTGGACGACCAGCAGAAGCAACAACGTTGATGATAGCAAATAGTATTTCAATACGTCGTAAAGTATCTGACATTACATTTTCCAATCAAGAAATGCAAGATATTTTTAAAGGTTATTGGCAACAATATGAGAACGATCCTTTGACTGGAAGAGATAATATACTTGCATCAATTTGTCCTCAAGTATATATAAAATAAATTCTGCAAAATTTATGATTTGTTAAAATAGTATACAATTGTCTATTGTTCTCTTTCCACAGCTCTATGGAATGTATACAATAAAATTAGCATTAGCTGTTGTATTATCTGGTGGTGTATCAAAAGTAAATGATTCAGGTGATTTTATGTAACATATAAATATAAATTAAATAAGTATAAATGATTTCAAGTAAAGTATAATCAATTTTATAAAAAAAAAATGTACAGGTACACGTGTCAGAGGTGAGCCACATCTTCTTATGATCGGTGATCCTGGAACCGGCAAATCTCAATTACTTCGTATTGCTTCCAAATTATCAACAATATCTGTTCATACAACTGGTATTGGCACAACCGCAGCTGGCCTTACAGCTGCTGCTGTCAAAGTTGGTTTTCATTTTTAATCAACCCGTAGACTTGACAGTTATATTATAAAATAATAAATACATATGTTGAAATTATTTAGGATACAGATGGTTGGCATTTAGAAGGTGGTGCTTTGGTATTAGCAGATGGTGGTGTTTGTTGTATTGATGAATTTAATACAATGAGTTCTCATGACAGAGCATGTGTGCATGAAGCTATGGAACAACAAACAATATCAATTGCCAAAGCAGGTTTAGTGAGTACTTTAAATTCTCGATGTACAGTTATTGCTGCTATTAATCCAGATGGAGGCACATTTATAGATGGTGAAGAATGGAAAACACGTTTGGGAAATCCTCTTTTATCACGATTCGATTTAATTCTTCTACTCAAGGATAATAAAAATCAAGAATGGGATAAAATGGCATCTGATCATATTTTAAGAACAGCTTATGAATTTAACGATACAGAAGCTCAACCGTAATAAAATGATGTAAAGTAATAACTTTACTTTAAAAGAAAATAAATATAACTATAAAAAAAAAATATAAAATATTTCAGAGATACAAAGCAACAGATGGATTCTGTAAGATCAGGATTATGGTCGGAGCAAAGTTTACGCGAGTATTTCACACATATACATACTTTGAAACCAAGTCTTACAATAGAAGCAGAAAAAGTTATCAGTGCAACTTATCTTTATCACAGATCTAATCCAAGTAGAAGATCAGAACGAACAACTGTACGACTTTTAGATAGCTTGGTCAGGTAATATATAATTTAGCAAAAAAAGAAAAATTATACAGTCATTTAAATATTACAAAATATTCATTTCGTAGATTAGCTGAAGGCCATGCAAGACTAATGTTTCGATCAGAAGTACAACTAATGGATGCTATAATTGCATCAGACTTAACTGGTACTCTTATAAGTGATATGGGAATTGGATGTCCTTTTCCTACAAATCCAAAACACACATATCATTGCAGAGGTAAATTGAATATATTGTAATATCATATAATCATAATAATAGAAATTAATTTGAGATAGTTGCAAATATTACAATATTTTATGAACAATTACAGGAAAGGAGATATTAAGAATTCTTAATTTGGAAACGCTTGAATCATTTCTATAATGTATCATACGTATAATGTATTTTCTAACACGAATTATATACATTTCCATGGTTATTTGATTAATTAATATCTTCCATATTTGAAGTGTTATAATAAAATACAATAGTCCAAGGCAGAATTATAAGTATATATTATTATTTAGTTTAGCAATTAAATATTCCATTATCTACTTTTTATGCATAAGTGGTTTACTTTTTTTTTAATATTATTCTCAGTACCTATATATTAGCAAACATAATAGTTTTATACATGGACCTTTGGAGTTTTAATTTGTTATTAATAGCTGCAGAATATTTTCCATTGAATTTTCTTAAAAAAAAAAAAAAAAAAAAAAAAA